GCGGTGGCTCACGTCTGTAATCCCAGCACTTTGGGAGGCCAAGGCGGGTAGATCATGAGGTCAAGAAATCGAGACCATCGTGGTCAACATGGTGAAACCCTGTCTCTACTAAAAATACAAAAAATTAGCTGGGCATGGTGGCGCATGCCTGTAATCCCAGCTACTCAGGAGGCTGAGGTAGGAGAATTGTCTGAACCCAGGAGGCGGAGGTTGCGGTGAGCCGAGATTGCGCCATTGCACTCCAGCCTGGGTAACAAGAGCGAAATTCCGTCTCAAAAAAAAAAAAAAAAAATAGATGGTTACATTTGGTTCTATAGACAGAAAAAAATATTTGGGTCTAACTAAACTTGATAGAAATTTTATATTTTAATGACCTTCTAGAGCTTTATCATGGTACTACGGTGCTGCAGAATCAAAGTAGCTAAAGAAGAGCTCTTTTTTTTTTTTTTTTTTTTTGAGACAGGGTCTCTCTGTCGCCCATGCTGTGGTGCAGCAGTGTAATCTCGGATTACTACAACCTCTGCATCCAGGGCTCAAGGGATCCTCCTGCTTCAGCCTCTCAAGTAGCTGGTACTATTGGCATGCATCACCATCCTCAGATAATTATTTTTAAATTGTTTTGTAGAGACAAATTCTCACTATATTGCTTAGGCTGGTCTCAAACTCCTGGGCTCGAGCAACCCTCCCCTGCTCGGCCTCCCAAAATGCTGGGATGACAGGTGTGAGCCACCTAACCTGGCTGGAGGGGCTCTTGATGGATCAAATTCTAATTCTAAATGGCTCTGATGTAGCTCTCTTGAGTTTACTTTATCCCTAAATAGCTGGATATTGCTTTAGATTAATGGGCATGTCCCATTCGTCTTCATAGCCAATAAAATCATTGAAAAGCTCACCCTGAACAATAGTTCTTTTGTGACCAGGTAATTATGGGGAAACAGCTGGTTTTTTTCTTTTCTTTTTTTTCTTTTTTTTTTTTTTAGCTGACTTGGTGTTTGTTTCTATGGGAAAATGGAGTCTGTGTTCTTAATTTATAGATAAATATTTAGAATATAGCCATTTTATACTAATAAATATAGCTCCTTTTTCCTATCCAGGTTTTGAGTTGTGTGACAAGTAAAACAAAGAATACAACAGATGGAGATAAAATATTACTTTTACAGAAGCTTACTTTTGAGAATGTGGCTTAGGGCTTCCTCTTACTGGATCCTTACCGTCTTGGATACAACAATCCTGAATCCAGGTTCTCTCCCCAGTGGGAAAATGCAGGATTTGAGGTGAGCGTTCCCAGTTTATTCTGAAATAACTCACTACATTTCATCTAGTGCAAAATGAATAAAGACGTGCCAAGAGACCAGGAGTGTGGCAGGAATTAAGCTCCCTCCACATGTGAGGAAATATCAGCCCTAAGGACAAAGCAGTTCCCCTCATGAAAGCTCTGTGCACATTGTCTCTGTCATCGTGCCGTGCTGAAGTCCAGTGTGGATTGAGTTAGGAGGGGGCGTAACAGTGATTCCTGATTTACACTTTGAGGACTGCCTGACTTTCTTGCTGCCCATAGTTCTCCAGACGATAAGGCCAGGGAAGAGTCAGGGAGCCAGATGTGTGGCAGTCCTCCATGCCTGTTATACTTCTCATTCTATGCTCAGCACAGAAGTCATATAGAGAGCCATGGAAATATTGACACTGTCGTAATATGGTGGCATTAGTAGACATTGGTGATAGAGCACTGTGGGCACCATTCCCTTGATATCTTGAACCTAAGGCATGATGGGGTGAAAGAGGCTCCTCCCGGTTCAGGAGACAGGATTTGAGACCCTACATTTGAAATCTTGCAGCTACTTATATGACCCCAGGCCACTTTTTCAATTTTTTCTAGAAAAAAGTGAATATAGTAGGTTAAAAATGCCATATAAAAATGGCAGAAAAGGAGAAAAGATTTGCAATATATATATAAAGAACTTTTACCATTAAAATCCAAGAAGAAAACCAATTAAACTTTACAATGTGCAAATTTTTTGAAAACGTACTTTATAAAAGAAGAGATATGGGGCCAGGCGTGGTGGCTCAAGCCTGTAATCCCAGCACTTTGGGAGGCCGAGGCGGGTGGATCACAAGGTCGAGAGATCGAGACCAACCTGGTCAACATGGTGAAACCCCGTCTCTACTAAAAATACAAAAAATTAACTGGGCATGGTGACGCGTGCCTATAATCCCAGCTACTCAGGAGGCTGAGGCAGGAGAATTGCCTGAACCCAGGAGGTGGAGGTTGCGGTGAGCCGAGATCGCACCATTGCACTCCAGCCTGGGTAACAAGAGCGAAACTCCGTCTCAAAAAAAAAAAAAAAAAAAAAAAGAAGAGATATGAGTGGTTAATATGCACATAAAAAATGTTCAGCATCATTTGTCATCAAGAGATGCAAGTTAAAACCAAAGTGAGATGCTACTACATACCCTTTAGGGTAGCTAATATAAAGACTAACAATACTAAGTGTTGACAAGGATAGGGAACAACTGGGATTATCATATATTGCTGACATAAAAATGGCATAGCAATTTAGGAAAACTATTTGACTATTTATTAAAAAGTTATATACCTACTATACCTACTATATGATGCAGCCATTCCATTCTAAATATTTACCCTAAAGAAATGAAAGTTTATGTTCATACAAAGACTTCACATTAATATTTATAACTTTTTTTTTTTTTTGAGACAGAATTCTGATCTGTTGCCCAGGCTGAAGTGCAGTGGTATAATCTTGGTTCACTGTAAACTCCACTTCCAGGGTTCAAAGGATTCTCCGGCTTCACCTTTCCAAGTAGCTGGGATTACAGGTGCCTGCCACCACATCTGGCTAATTTTTGTATTTTTATTAGAGATGGGTTTTTGCCATGTAGACCAGGCTGATCTCCAACTCCTGACCTCAGGTGATCTGCCTGCTTCAGCCTCTGAAAGTGCTGGGATTACAGGTGTGAGCCACCATGCTCAGCCTTATTTATAATATTTTTATTTGTAATAGTCAAAACTAGAAACAACCCAAATGTCCATCGACAGATGAATTGATAAATGAGCCGTGGTACATCGATACAGTAGAATAGTGTTCAGATATAAGAAGAAACAAATTATGAATACACACAACATGGATGACTCTCAGTATGATTATGTTAAGTAAAAGAAACTGGCCCCCCAAAAACAAAATACGACATCTGTATGATTCCATGTATATAAAATGCTAGAAAATATAGACTAATCTGTAGAGACAGAAAGCAGATCAGTGGTTGCCTGGGTTTGGGGTAGACGGTAGGGGATGCACTGCTACAAGGGAACAAGAGGAAAGTCTTAAATGTGTTGAGAATGTCCTATATCTTGGTTGTAATGGTAGCTACACATGCATATACATCAATCAAAACTTGTTTAACTGTGCACTGTAAATAGAAACAGTTTATTGATATAAATTATAGCTAATAAAGCTAGTTTTCAAAGAAAAGAAAAACAAGCCTTTGTTTAAATCCTGGTGTCAGGAGTTATTCAAGCTGAGAATAATAGCACAACATGATGGGCCTTAGAAGTGTCTTTGCTTTGGAAAAAGTGTTTCAATGGACCTCTCAGCCATGCAAGAACAAACTCGCATCTTATTCTTGAATGGAGACTCTAGGACAATAAGGAACTTATCTGTTGGTGATCATACAAAGACATTTTGTTTTCATCAAGATCAGAGTTAAAATTTAAACCCAAAAGCCCGGCTTGATGGCACATGCTTATAATCACAGCACTTTGGGAAGCTGAAGTGGGTGGATTGCTTGAGCCTAGGAGTTCAAGACTAGCCTGAGCAACATGACAAAACCCCTTCTATTCTAAAAATACAAAAATCAGCCAGGCGTGGTGGTACACCCCTGTAATCCCAGTCACATGGGTGGCTGAGACAGGAGGATCACTTGAGCCCAGGAGGCAGAGGTTGCAGTGAGCCGAGATCACACCACTCCACCCTAGCCTGGGCGACAGAGTGAAACTGCCTCAAAACAAAACAAAACAAAAAGAAAGAAAAATTAAACTCAAAACTCTGGCCACAACTCACAAGGTATCATTGTTTGTATTCCTCTGGCTGGGGCTGAACACAGGAGAGTTGGGGCCCTTGACATTAAGGAGGGAGAACTGGATGAAAAGAACCTAAATCCAAGTAATAAAGCTGCCTCCTGACCCATGTGAGAGATGAGGTGCTAAAGAACTAGAGGGTGAGAAAGGGAACTGAGAGGTGGGGACCTGCCCAGTGAGTGGCCAGGAACAGAGGGATCAAATCGGCTGTTCTGTTTTCTCTTTTCTGCACTTTATTGCCCACTCCCCAACACACCAGTCACCCGCCAGACTTCAGTAGAGTTAGGTTAAATGCCATGGTGTGATGTTCTCACATGGGAACTTTACTGAGGGGCTGTTCCCAGGTAGAGTCACAGAAGCTTGGAGAGGCGATTACAGAGTTTGAGAAGCGACCATCGGAGTCCCGGGATGGTGGTCCCCAGCATACCGTGACAAAAGCTAAGCAACTAATAATTTGGGGAGACATGTAAGTCCTCTTCAGGGATTCTCAGAACTATAGCTGGAGGAAAGTGGGTTTCCTGCACTCAAATGCAGGTGAGCAGAGCACAGCCTGTTATTGAATGTTTAAAGGAAAGGTGGCCTCCTAAAAGATGGTAGCTTGGAGACATTTGAGGTATCAAGAGATGAACCAAACTTGTGCGCCACCGACCTCACAAGGATATTTGGAATGTCCTGAGGTATTTTAAGCTTTGAGCCAGAAAAATAATTCATAAGGCCAGTTGCACCTCTTCTATCTCAAAAGCTCAGAAGAGCCCTATGGTATATGGCCAAATGCTAACTATAATTGCCTGTCTCTGGTTTGACGTCAATTAATGACTGGACTTTGTACCTGAAAGACAGTTAAAACTAAGGGTAGCTGGGGAAGGAAATCATTTCCTCTTTGGATTACCAAGCAAGAACAGCTAAAATGCAGGCTGTCACTCATCTTACTCTTCTCACCCTCCTTTTTGTAAACTCAGGTAAGGAATATGTTTACATTTTAATTCTTCCAATCATGTATGTTATCTTTGAGATAAAATCAGCAGGCCAGCACCACGGCCTATTTTGTAAGTGAAGTTTCCCCTCTAGCTCTGCTCAAAGACACAAGCCTTTTAGCCTGGGATGAAGACGGAACAGTAGCACAGGTGGTCTATGGGCCGGGTGCGACGGCTCGTTCCTTTAATCCCAGCCCTTTGGCAGGACGAGGAGGGCAGATCTCTTGAGGTCAGAGGTTTGAAACCACCCTGTCCAACATGGTGAAACCCTGTCTCTACTGAAAATGTAAAAACTTAGCCGGACCTGGTCGTGGGTGCCTGTAGTCCTAGCTACTCAGGAGACTGAGGCAGGAAGAATCACTTGAACCCAGTGGGTGGAGGTTGCAGTGAGCTGAGATGGTGCCACTGCACTCCAGCCTGGTCAAAAGAGCGAAACTTCATGTTGTGGGGAAGTGGGGGAGAGTGGTCTATGGAGTGAGATTTGGGGGCTCAGCAAACCAGAGGTCTGTCTTTGAGAGTTCCTGAGGCCAGATAAGAAGGACTAAGTAGGTTCCAAGGACCCAGTTCCCTACTAGCGTTCTGGATCCTCTCTCACAATACTCGGAGAGCCGACCACAGGAAAACGCCTCCTTTCACAAATGGACTTGAATTTGAGAATGCTAAACCATAGGGAGTAATTGTCATTTTGATTAGGCATCAGACCTGTACTCCCTGTTCTGAGTTATGAGCCACATGTGGGTGAGGCCATCAGTATATTAAGAGGTAAGGGTTGTGGGAGCCAATTGGCCTCCTAAAATTTGGCTGAAAAATCACTGGCATGATTGATCAATAGGAAAAAGGGCATAGAGATATACTTAATGTGTGTACCCAGAAGCCTTCAGCATGAACACCCAACTTCCTGATGATGTATAGAAGCTCATACACCATCCTGAGGTCACAGAAAGAAAGGGGGCTTTGATCTTGGTAAAACAAGTTATGGGAGAGGGGAGAAGAGGAATTCCATTGAGGGGCAATAAGCGATTATTAGGGAGAATAATTAGATTTGGGAGCAAAAGTAAACTTGTACGTAATGCCCTGGAATTTAAAGATCCTTGGAGACAGTCCGGATCCCGATGAAGGGTCTGCTCGGGGGTGGCTGCCTTCCTGGTCTCCTTTCTGTCAGTGAATAGTGACGTACTAGGGAGGGGAACAGGAGCAATTATTCCTCCTTGGTGGGCCAGTCCTTGCAGTGCTTGTTGACCTCTAAGAGTTTTTGATTTAAAAATACTCATTAGGTCAAGGAGCTATATTTGGGGGTAAAATATTTTGATTTCCTTCAGGTTCAGTGAGTTGAAATCTAGAAGCTGCTTGCATCAGGGAAGAAAGTATTTGATAAGGCAGATATATGAAGAGAAATTAAGCCCTTTTAGAGAACTGGAATGAGTGGCAGCAGGATTAGAGGTTTTTGAGAGCTGGTTTCAAGCTCTTAATGAGGGAAGGTTGTGGAAGGCCAGCTGCACGAGAGTGGAGGGCTCACCAGATTTCGCCAGCCAACCCTGGGGGCAGATGCCAGGTCCAAGCCTTCAGGACCAAGGAAGAATTGGTGAGGCTCGTATGACTTTCAGGAACCACTATTAAAAAAGGCTCGACTTCTAAAAAATGGAAGAGAAGGGCAGTAGAAAGGGGAAAGTTGGCTGGGAGGGGTCAAGGAGATGAATAGAGAAGTAAGGGAATCAGAAATCATTGAGGCTCAAGGTACCTGAGGGGAGTGGAGATGTTTCTAGACCCAGAGAACCCAAGGGGAAGGGCAAATGGTGAGGCAAGCAGGGATTCAGATGGCATGCCACCACGTATTAGCTGTGGGGTGTCTCTGACCCTCAGTGTCTCCCTGTGCAACAGTAGAGGGGAAATCCCTATACTGAAGAGTGACTGAGAGGTTTAAATGAGACAAAGCGCCTGATGTACCAGGGATACTGCCTGGCACGTAGTAGGGGCTTAATACATGATTTTCCTTTAATCATATCTGCACTTGGATCTGATTTTCTTTTCTCTCTTTATTTTATTTTATTTTATTTTATTTTATTTGAGTTGGAGTTTTGATCTTATCTCCCAGGCTGGAGTGCAATGGCCTGACCTCAGCTCACTGCAACCTCTGCCTCCTGGGTTCAAGCGATTCTACTACCTCAGCCTTCCAAGTAGCTGGGATTACAGGCGCCTGCCACTATGCCTGGCTAATTTTTGTATTTTTAGCAGAGATAGGGTTTCACCATGTTGGCCAGGCTGGTCTCGAACTCCTACCTCAGGAGATCCACCTGCCTTTGTCTCCCAAAGTGCTGGGATTATAGGCGTGAGCCACTGCACCCAGCCTGGATGTGATTTTCCAACTTTGTTTTTGGTTTTATCTTCTTTGTTTAAAAAAAAGTTATATAAGTAATGCAGACCCATTGTAACAAATTCAAACAATACAGATGTGTAATGAAATAAAAATTGGGCATCCAATCTGTCTTCCTGCTCGTCTACCTCCAGATATATTAGTATTGACAGTTTTTGGTGGCTATTAAGGTCTGGTTTTGAAGAAAATACTTATTTATTTAATTTTATTTTATTTTTTGAGATGGAGTTTTGCTCTTGTCACCCAGGCTGGAGTGCAATGTCATGATCTTAGCTCAGTGCAACCTCTGTCTCCCAGGTTCAAGTGATCCTCCTGCCTCAGCTTTCCGAGTGGCTAGGATTATAGGCACCCACCACCATGCCCAGGTAATTTTTTGTATTTTTAGTAGAGACGGTTTTCACCATGTTGGCCAGGCTGTTCTTGAACTCCTAACCTCAGGTGATCCACCCACCTTGGCCTCCCAAAGTGCCAGGATTGCAGGCATGAGCCACCGTGCCCAGCCTGAAAAATTTTTTTGAAGTTGCTTTTTCATCTAACGTTAAGGATTTTGCAGGTGTGTGTAAGGAATCACTACTTTAAAAATAAGTTTCTTCTCAGATTCTGAGCAACCAAGGGCAGGAAGTGTGTCTTGTACACCTTTACGTTCCTCCTTATCCCCATGCCTTGTATAGCACCTCGACTGCAAGAACCCCTGAACAAGCATGTACTGAAACAAATGAAAAATGTGCAGGTGACATTTGAAGTGCCTTTAACAGGCAGAACTTTCCAGGTCATTTTTGCTTTCTCTGAGAGATTAAGGCTGCATTATTCCACAGAATCTGATGGGTGCCTTTGGGAGCCAATATCTCACAATAATGAAGAATTCAGATCTGGGAGAAAGGTGTTTGATTGTGACTTTCAAATAGCTTTGAATAAAGCAGTTAATAGATGTGCCCTGGACAAGGGTGATGGTTATGGAGTGTTCCTCAGAGAAAAAAACAAACAAACAAACAAAAAAAACAAAACAGGTCAGGGCATATATTTTGCCATTTAAACCTGTGATTTGTACCTCCATGGACACTGTGCTATCCTTGTGTTGTTTAGAAGCTTTAGGACCTAAGGAAATAAAAAGATTAAAGCTAGTATTACTACATAGATGCCTTCATACATTTCTGCTAACTATGGATTGAATAGAATTGGTTATTTTACAATTCCTCTTGGGTATTTTTACTAGATAATTTAAGCCTGGGATATCAGCTCTAAGCTGTCTTCCCTGAAATCTGTACAATCATCAGATATAACACATGTATACACATAGGCACAGACAAGTGTATTTCAGTTTAAAAAAAACATATTGTAGCTATTCACAGCAATGAATTGCTGTCAGCTTGGAATGTGTCTCATTTATTAAAACTAATAGAGCATTCTGAAGTGTAATCTCCATAGCAAACAGAAATGTAAAACCAAAATAAGCCACCAAGTCCAAAACTCCTTGTCAGAATTCCAAAGATCTGCAGAAAACCTCTTAAGAAGTCCCAATTTGTTTTTTGCAGATCTACAGAAACATGTTGGTTCTTTGGCATCGGCCGAGAATGAACATTTCCAAAGCATGAAATTGAGGGTCTGGTGGGGTTGGGGATGTTTGCACCCAGTCTGCCAAGCCCTTTTCTTCTGTCCAGAGTTTTCCAGGGTGAGGGCCAGCCCCCAGCCACTCTCACTGCTACCCCAGTGATAGAGGCATCGTGAAGGTCGCCTCTACTTCCACTGCTTTCACTGTGATCCCCGATTTTCTCTATTTGCTCTTCTTGTGTTTGCTCCTTGGGGATGTCTTGGCTTTTTCATTAAGTGGATGACCTTCCCCACATCTTTAACCAAGTGGTAGTTAGGACATTGGCATCTCACAGACATGGCATTGCCTCTGGGCAAATCCCTCAACCCCTCTGAGTATTGGTGGGCTCTTCTGTGAAATGTGAGCACTTATGTCTATTTCACAGGTACTATTGGGCACCGGGCCAGCACCTGATAGTTGAGAACTATTCTGAGTAGCAGGAATAGGAAGAGCAGCCATCAATATTGCCCGCTGGTGACTTATTTCTTGCCCAGGAAGAGTAACTGCTGATCTCTTCAACACTTCTGAATGGCTATGTCAGCCAAGCCCTGTAGAAGGTGAAGAGCCAGGTTTTGCCCTCAGGGGGCTCACAGACCCATGGGGGAATCAGGAAGCATATTCAGCAGTTCTCAGTACCCTCAGGTTTAGAAATTGCTTCCTCACTAAAACTCTTTCTTTCAATAGTTTTTTTTTTTTAACCTATTGTCAAGGTCAGAGTTCTTAGAAACAATGAAAGGTTCTAGAAAACGTATTACTGGGCCAGGCAAGGTGGCTGACACCTGTGATCCCCATACTTTGAGAGGCCAGTGTGAGATCACTTGAGCCCAGGGGTTTGAGGCTGCAGTGAGCTGTGCTAACACCACTGCACTCCAGCATGCATGACAGAGCAAGACCATGGCTCTTAAAAAAGAAAAGAAAATGGATCACTAGATCACTAGCGGTTACTACTGCATGTGTCCAGGGGTTCCTAAAAGTTGTGAAAATGTGACTTTTATACCCATCATAGCTCAGAGGGCAAAGATCATTTATCTTACTCTTAGTCAACGTATCTAGAATTGTGAATGGGAAAACGCTACTAAAATAAGATTTTGGAAGAAGTGTAATGAGCACTTAATTAGGTACTTTTATTTAATCTTTTTTAAATTAAGCCAACCCCAACCTTTCCCTCTCTCAATCTAACAGGGTAATGAAAAATTGGGGCAGTTGCCTTGAAGTGCAGAAAAGACAAAAGGAGTCCACTTCTGGGTAGTCACAGCGCCACCTTGTGGCATTCTCAATTGTCCTCACTGAGGACAGTCGGGCATACTGAATCCAGATGGACAGTTCTACAACTACAGGCATAAATAATATGACTTCTTGGTACTCAACTTAATAAATATTGACTCCTCTGAGGGCCTGGTGGGTCATGCCTGCAATCCAAGCACTTTGGGAGGCTGAGGCAGAAGGATCACTGGAGGCCAGGAGTCAAGAGACTAGCCTGGCCAGCGTGGTGAGACCCCGTCTCTAAAACAAACCAAAAAAAGTAGCCAGCCATGGAGCTGTTACAACTGTAGTCCTAGCTGTTTGGGAGGTTGAGGTGGGAGGATTTCTTGAGTCTAGGAGCTCAAGGCTGCAGTGAGCTATGGTCACACGACTCACCATTGCACTCCAGCCTGGGTGGCAGACCAAGGCCTTATTTCTAAAATAAATAAACATTAACTCCTTATTTGTCATATTTTTCAATACATTTTTTCCAGTTTTGTCTGTTTAATTTTTAATTTTATTTATTTTGGGTTTTTTTTTGTGATTGGAAATAGTCATGTATTTTAATTTTTAATGTAGTTATATATATTCATTTTTTTCCAGAAAACAGTGAGTTGAGGCTGGGCATGGCAGTTCACACCTATAATCTCAGCACTTTGGGAGGGCAAGAAGGGTGGATGCTTGAGCCTAGGAGTTCATGACCAGTCTAGGCAACATGGGGAAACCCCACCTCTACCAGAAAAAAAAAAAAAAAAAAAGAGTTGGATACTAATTAGTATTAAGTAACAGCCACTAGTTATTCAATGCATTGTCTCCTCAAACTTGGTATCTTTGTTCCTCCAGCCACCAGCCAAGACAACTTATCTACTACTTCATCAGCTATAGAAACTGCAACTGCTCTTCCTGAAGTATCTACCACTGTTGCCAATGGAACTGATTTCACTGAAATTGTTAGCGCAACTACACCTTCTTCCTCAACAGCTCTTTCATCTACCTCCCCCATAACTGATACAAATAGACCTAATACTACAGGCAGTGAGTCAAACACAAGTACAAATTTACTAAGTACATCTGGCATAATTGTTTCATCTACAAGTGATGTATTCACCACAATGGTCACTTCTAAAACACAAAGTAACAATGAAGTGTCCCCCTCCACAAAAGACAGTCAATCATCAGGGCCTTTCACTAGCACCACTTCACTGGAGACCAGCAACCTAAACACTGCAGGTAAGGGTGATTCTCTCCCTAAGGAGGGAGTATACCATTGTGGTGGAAGGGAAGTGGGTGTGTTCTGGTGGGGTAGGCAAATGGGTCTGAAAAGGCCCAAGGTTTCCTTGGATATGAACTGTGAGCTTGCAATCTGTCTCATGATATAGTGATGGCAATGGCCCTAAAAGATTACCCTCCGTTTCCTTCTGTTCTCCGTTCCTTCTCTCCTATCTTACCTTAAGTTATTTGCTAGCTGTGAAGTTTTTTTTTTTTTTTTAATGAACTCGGGCTTTGTGAAAGGTACCTCTATAGCTTTCTTCTCCCTAGGGGATTTTTAGAAATAGTTTCAGCTTCTCTGAGAAGACCAGGTCCAAATAAGCATGGACTGTCCAGCCCCACTGGTCTAACTCTCTGGTCTATCAAAGGAAGAAGTCAGTTCTACCCTTAAGGTAAGATGGTGGCTGATCACGATGTGGAATTCGAGCCAAGTCATGGAATTTGAGCCTCATAGAATAGAAAGCAAAACAATAGCAGTGTTCAAACAGCCCTAGGCATAACCAGGGCCACTGTCCAAAGGACAGACGCTTTGGGAACACTAAGAGATGACAAGTGACCTCAAGCAGAAGTTAATGAAACAGGAACCATTTGCTTCACTTCCCCAAGCTCAATCTGTAACAGAAATCAATCAAGTTTATCAGCAAAGGCCAAATGCCCCTGTAGGCCATTTAGGGTCTCTGTTGTAACTCCTACACTACTATTTTAACGTGAAAGTAGCCATAGTTAACATGAACCTGGTTGTGTTCAAATAAAATTTTATTTACAGAAAACAAAAGGTTGGTCAGATATGACTCATGAACCATAGTTTGCCAGCCCCGATCTAGAAGAATCATCATACTTTAGAGCCTGTAGAATCTAGGTAAATCCTGTCATTCTCAGATGGGAAATCTAGGACCCAGTGAGGGCCGTGACTCACCCAGGGCCAAAGAACAAGTGGATGTCTCCCTACCCTTAACTTCTGGTAGCTTCCTCAGTGTTCTCTGATAGATTTAAGAAATGGATGATTAAGCAAGTAGAGCCCAGAGTCTGTATCTAAGACCTCATTCTCCAATCTTCTTTCGTGCTTGGAGGAGCCACTCTGAAGGTGGGATCCAATGGGACACAGGTTTGGGATCCAATGGAATCAGGAAAAGGTTTCCTTTTCTATTCTTTCTTTCTTTCTTTTTTCTTTTTTTTTTCAGAGAGTGATTTATTAGGCAGAGAGAGAAAGAGACAGGGAGAGACAGCTCCCATGCTGCCATGGGAGGGGAATCCAGAGGGGATATCCCGAAAGGGAGGTTTTCTAAGCCATTTCTGCTTCGCCATTGCTGCTTCGCTGGGTGTCCCCTCGGAGTCAGGCCATCTCCCTGTGTTCTGGCCCTACCATGAACGAACTGTGGGGTATGGGGCAAGGCATTTCTCTCTTGGCTTCAACTTACTCATCTGCAATAAGGCAGGACTGAACTAAAAAGCCACCCAGATCTCTTCTGGCTGTAATGTCCTATGACTTCATCAATTCCTGGCCACGAAACAAGCTAATGAGTCTGTCCTTCATTGCTGAAGAAAAAGCACCGAGAGTTATTTGTCTGGTGTCTCCGGGAGATACATTCAGTCTCTTCCCTAAGATTTCCCAAGTCATCCTTGCAAGGTGGCTGAGGCTTTTTCTTTTTTTTAAGAAGCCATTAATTTTACTTAGAAAACTGGTTCATACCTTGTCAGAGGAGTGACCCCTATTTTTGTTTATAAGATACTGAACTATGCCTCCTTTTATACTAGATAGTCTATTTTTTCTCTCTTTAAAAAAATGTTATTGGAAGCCAGTCACAGTGGCTCATGCCTGTAATCCCAGCACTTTGGGAGGCTGAGGTGGGTGAATTGCTTGAGCACAGGAGTTCAAGACCAGCCTGGGAAACATGACAAAACCCCATCTCTACAAAAAAATACAAAAATTAACCAGGTGTGATAGCATGCACCTGTGGTCCCAGCTACTCAGAAGGCTGAAATGGAAGGATCACTTGAGCCCAGGAGGCAGAGGTTGCAGCCAGCCAAGATCATGTCATTGTATTCCAGGCTGGACAACAGAGCAAGACCTTGTCTCAAAAAAATGTTAATGGAGTTTATTTTTAGAGAAGTTTTAGACTCACAGCAAGATTTAGATGAAGGTACAGAGGTTTCGCATATACTCCCTGACCTAACACATACATTGTGAACATCCCCCACCAAGTGATGTGTGTATTACAACTGATACACCTCCAGTGACATCACCACTTACAGACCATCGTTTACATTAGAGATCACTCTTGGTGCTGTGCATTTTATGAATTTGGAGGAATACATGTATATGACATGCATCCCTTCTTACGGGATCGCAACCCTAAGAATTCTTTGCACTTTTCATTCTTCCCTCCAACTCCTGACAGCCCCAGGTCTTTTTACTGTCTCTGTAGTTTTGCCTTTTCCAGAACGTCATAGAGTTGGAAGCATACAGAATGTGGCCTTTCGAGATTGGCTTCTTTTACATAGTAGTATGCATTTCCTCTATGTCTTTTCATGGCTTGATAGCTCATTATTTAGTGCTGAATAATATTTCATTGTCTAGATGTACCAGTTTGTTTATCCATTCACCTATTGAAAGATATATTGATTACTTCCAAGTTGTGGCACTCATTGAAAAAAAGCTGATATTAACATGGATGTGCAGGTTTTGTGTGGACATAAATTTCCCACACCTTTGGTTAAATATCAAGGAGGATGACTCTCAGATCCTTTTGTAAGGGCATGTTTAGTTTTGTAAGAAACCACCAAACTTTCTTCTCAAGGTGGCTGTGCCATTTCGCATTCCCACCAAGCAATGATGAGAGTTCCTGTTACCCCATATTCTCACCAGCACTATTTTATTTTTCATTTTTTAACAAAAGTAAATTGGGCCCTTGATTAGGGAAAAAGCAGCTCAAATAGGGCAAAAGCATATGGAATAAAAACTGAATCTCCCTCTTATCCTAAACCCTAGGACCCAGAGCCCCAGTTTCCTTCCTCAGAGGCAATTTCTGTGGCCAATTCCTTGAATCTCCTTCCTGAAATTATCTATGCAAATATAAGCATAAGTATTTGTTTGTGTATATCCCTCCCCTTCTTTTATTCACAAGACAGAGCATGTTATACACATTGTACCTTACATACAGCTTTTAAAGAAATCAGTGGTTTCTACATATAGATTTGTAAGACTTTCAAGACAGCTCTCAAGGTTATCAAACACATAAGCTGTTCTGAAATCACAGATCAGAATCATTCCACTTGACAGAGATGAAGCCAGCCAAGAGCATCATTGAATCACTGACCTAACTCTCCTCCTCAGATCTCATCCGTTTTCTGGAGAGAGAAAGATGCTGCACCCTGCCTGGCCGGGGAATCTCTGCCGGCAGTGTAGAGCCCATTGCAGTGTTATTTTCACCATTTATTAAGTCACCCACTCAGAAAGCCAAAGGCTGGAGTGTCTTCTCATAGCCTCTTAGGATTTTCACTGAGTTAATCCACATTCTCTTCTTTACTATCCTGTTCCTGTTTTTGTGGCTATGTCTCCTAGGAATACTTACCAGAATATGACATCTAGTTTCTTTTTGGAGCCTCTTGGCTGTTCCTCCCTATACGACAATTATTAATACCTTTCTAAAAACAAGACTTTATCTAGGATGTTTTGGGGAGTGCTACCTAGTGTTAGAGGACCATGCTTCACAGTTCTGGAGGGACTTTGAGACGTGAAGATTCCTGACTCCTTGAAGTGAAAAGACTGCAGTCTGTCTTTCTCTAGGCAAGCCCTTGTGTTCACTAATCTCTGATCTTTACTACTGACAAGTATTAAACTTGGCTCTAGAATTTCAGCAACAAACTCTATAGAGACCTAAGCAAGCAAACATTTGTTTTTAACTTTTCCAACAGTGTGCTGTGGAATAACACAACCAATAAATGGACAGGGCCCAGGAGGGAGGCATGAAGATGGAAAAAGACGTTTCCAGGTTTTACATATTGTCATTTCTCTGGATTTCTAATCTCTTTCTACTCCATCTAAGGTCCCAGCCATCCTTGCCAAGATGATCCCTGTGCAGATAATTCATTATGTGTTGGGCTGCATGATACACATTTTTGCCTGTGTTTAGAAGGGTATTACTACAATTCTTCTACATGTGAGAAAGGTGAGTTACAAGGGATGAGCCATGGCTGAGCTCTGTATCTCATACCAAAAGTGGAATCAAAAACTCAAAATGATGGCAAAAAGAGATTCCAGAATATGAGAGAGAAAGAAAATGTGGAGGCAGGCTGGGCATGGTGGCTCACGCCTGTAATCCCAGCACTTTGGGAGGCCGAGGCGAGTGGATCATGAGGTCATGAATTTAAGACCACCCTGGCCAAGATGGTGAATTGCTGTCTCTACTAAAAATACAAAAATTAGCTAGGTGTGGTGGCAGGCACCTGTAATCCCAGCTACTCTAGAGGCTGAGGCAGAGAATTGCTTGAACCCAGAAGGCAGAGATTGCAGTGAGCCAAGATCATGCCACCACACTATAGTCTGGATGACAGAGCGAGACTCCATCTCAAGAAAAAAAAAAAAAAAAAAAAAAAAAAAAAAAAAAAAACAAGAACATGTGGAGGCAACAAAGGTGAACAAAGTAGAGAAAAATGCTGTTACCTGGGGACATTGAGGCAGAAGAAGGTGAACTGTCTAAGACCACACAGCCAGCAACCCTAGGAGCCTGGTCTTCACGCAGGATCTGTTTGCTCCACAATCCCAGACACCCCTCTTAGAGACATAAGAGCCCTTCAGCTCTAAAAATGGATTTCAGGAGTGCATTTATACACCTGTGGTGTAATGATGTTTTGATTAGATCACCAGGTTGCAATGAAGGTCTGAGGCCTGAGTTCTGTTTTTTTTCTTTTTTTTTTCTGTTTTATGAATGAGAAATATCTTCATTTTCCAGAACAGCCAAATATCTAAGAAATGAATGCACTGCATTGCCCACAGGGGTTAGGGATAAACCAAAAGCCACCCCCCCACAAATGCTTATATTTTTAGCACTAATAATCTCACTTCTGGGGATTTACTCTAAGTAAGTGACCCCAAATACAGAAGAATAGTTTGTGTGTGAAGGTGCAACCTTTTTATTTTCCTTTTAAATAACTAAAAGCACTAAGTCCAATAACAAAAAAATGATTACATCAAGCAAGGGGACGTGTACTTCACAGAATATTATGCAACCTTTTAAAATGATGGTTATGAGACCAGGCACAGGAGCTCACACCTTAATCCCAGGACTTTGGGAGCCCAAGGAAGGCAGGAGGATCACTTGAGGCCAGGAATGTGAGACTAGCCTAGTCAACATACTGAGACTCACATTTCTACAAAAATTAAAAAATTGCCTGGGCATGGTGGCATATACCTGTTGTCTCAGCTAATCAGGAGGCTGAGGCAGGAGGATCCCTCGAGCCCAGGAGTTGGAGCCTACAGTGAGCCATTTGTGCCACTGCAGTCTAGCCTGGGTGACAGAGCAAGATCCTGCCTCTCTCTCTAACAAAAAGAGGAAGACTAGGCCACGATTTGGAAAATACTCATTACCTAATAAGAAAAAAAGAAATATGGCGTAAACTTGGAAGTACATCAATGTAAACTGTGAATGGAAAGAAATATACCAAAATGAAAATAGTTGTGCTAGGTTGGGTGGGATTATGGGTAACTTTTAAAATATTTCCAGATTTCCTGTAGTGTCATTATATAAGGCTGTGAATTCTAAAAAAATAATCTATGTTTTAAAACAAAATGGAAATGACCCTCTTTGCATTAAATAGTACAGAAGATTCTGCTTAACTTTCAGGAAAGGTATTCCCTGGGACGATTTTAGTGAAAGTTTCAGAAGCATTTAACTCAGAAGAGAAAAATTCTCAGGCCTATCAAGACTTCTATGGAGAAATTACTAGCTTCGTAAGTATTTTCCGACTTTCCTTTCTGTAAAGCATTCTTTGTTCTAATACTGAGTTGCTGAGTGTAGAGCTGGTCTTCAGGTGGTTCATGCTGGTACCATTGTACCAGTTGTTCCAACAGTGAAATGTACCCTTACTGGTCAGTAAACAACAGCTCCACCAGTGCCACCCCTTCATTGCCTGGGCCCCTTGGGCCTCCCCATGGTCTTGCACTTGGAGGCATGGCACCTGGCCTGGCATGGCAGAGGGCCTAAGGAAGCTTGGCTCCAGCCGTACAATACCCATTGTGATATAAGCTATAAATACAGTTTTAAATGGACAGATAAAAAAAATAAATTATATCCACAGAATGAAAGAGAAAAAGATTTAAAATGTTGTTTCTGTTTTTTTATATTCAAATTTGCATAAATTTTCATACTAGACTGGCTTTAAAAAAATGCCTAGAAGAAGAATTACATCCGAATATCTGTTACCTATTTTTCCCATTGTCAAAAATGATGGCATGAACAATAGTTTCCTATCATTTAGATGACTGTGATCGAGTGCACACGTGTGAGCGAGCATGAAAGGGTCTTTCTATTCCGCAGCCACAGATGTTAGTCCTGGAAGGACTCGCAGAAAGTGTCCAGCCAATATACCTCAAAGTTCAGTTTGAAAGGAAAAAATATTAGCCTTAAATATGTCTTAGAAGTCAAGGTGGAGGCTGGGCATGGTGGCTCATGCCCATAATCCTAGCACCTTGGGATGCTGAGGCGGGCAGATTACTTGAGGTCAGGAGTTTGAAACCAGCCTGGCCAATATGGTGAAACCCCATTGCTACTAAAAATACAAAATATATATATATATATATATATATATATATATATATATATATATATGGCCAGGCATGGTGGCAGGGACCTGTAACCCTAGCTACTTGGGAGGCTGAGGCAGGAGAATTTCTAGAACCCAGGAGGCAGAGGTTGCAGTGAGCCAAGATTGTGCTACTACACTCCAGCCTGGGTGATAGGGTGAGACTCTCTCAAAAAAAAAAAAAAAAAAAAAGAAAGAAAGAAAAAGAAAGAAAAAAGAAAAACAAGTAGTAGAGGTGGAGAGACTTTTTTTTAAAGCTAAAGTCTATTCTATGACATGGTCTGTGTCTCTCAATTTGAAATTGTGTCACTATTAGAACTGGTAACATGGAAAACACGTATCACGGAAATGATTTTGCAGAAGGTGCAGAGAGAGCTAGTGCTTCCGACTGCACAGCCAGCCAGTACATGGCAGTGCTAGGATAGAATCCATGGCTGCTGTGTCACAGAGTTTGCTCTGCCCCTTTGCCATGTCATCTCTGCCCCGTGGGCCAGCTGGCAGTGACTTGCCCTCTCATCTCGGATCTGCATTCAAATTTGCCAGCTCGTGCTATTCAGTACACTGAAGACAGCAACATCAACAAGTCCTACTTCCAGGGAACCCCTGAAGTGCTTCCTGTGGCTTTACTGAGCAATGGTCACTTAGCACTACATTCCCCAAACTTGTCTTTGAGTGTGAGTGTCACAAAAGCCCCCTCCAGTTTCAGGCCTTATGCCCTGATCTTCAGAGATTAGATTAAAGACTTGATCTCAGTCACGACTTGATGTTCCTGGGGGAACCAGTGAGGGGATGAAGCATTCTTAGAGTTTCTGGGAGATTTGTAATCCAAAAGTGATCCACCAGAACTCGCTTGCAACCGCTCGAGTTAGGAAAATAGAGACAACTTACTTTCTTCCAGGGTGTCTTAGCAGCCTATGTGGGGGTGGTCCTGGCTCAGGTCATAAGATGTCTCCGGGGTCCATTTTCTACCTAGCTGGATCCTGTTAAAAGCTAGATAGAGCATCATTTTGTTCTGCCCCATTTGATTTGTAGAAAATGTTTTTAAAAATTTGCTTTTTACTTGTTACTAAATCTGTTCTCCTCCACAGTTTGAAACCGTATTTGGCACATCTGTTTATGGACAGACCATAATTCTTGCTGTAAGGTAAGTTTGTGATGGACTGCTGGGGTACTTTGGAGGCAGATGTGTCAGTCTAACTTCTGAGCTTCTCTTGAGGTCTGCATGTAACATTAAGGCCCTCTGTGGCAAGTCACAAGTTAACAGCAGAGGGGCAGTCTCAGTCTGAGCACTGCAAAGGGGATGGTGTGCCTTGGCCCTGCCTCTGACGTCACACCAACTCTGGGCAGTATGTGGCCTGGGAAAGACAAGATTCTGTCTGTGATTGGCTGTGTAGCAACTTATGCACATGGTGCAGGACATCATCTGGATCTCTTTGTTTGGCTTGATCCTATGGCTGCAAACCATACCTAGTCAATCCCTGGAATGTGCATTCCAGCAGGCCGGGAGCAGACTGAATGGCCCATGATCATCCCTTCCTCATATGGCAAGTGTGATGGGGACAAGAACACCCAAATCACACATCTGGCTACAGAAGGGTCGGTGGTAAGCTCTTTCTGCGGTGAGAGCAAGCACTTACTGAGCACTTCGATATGTAGTGGCAAGGGCTGGGTGCTATTTAGGGACATAAAGAGGGAAAAAGCAATTCCATCTCAGCCTCCTCTGAAGCACATTAATACACACATAGGCTGAGGAAAGAATGCTGTAAGACAAATGGAGTTAGGTAAGAAAAGCAGTCCTCATGTAGCAATGCACTATTTACATATTAAGTCTTACTATTGTATTTATCCTTATCAGCCATATCAAATCCTTTGTGGCTCACACCTGTAATCCTAGTGCTTTGGGAGGCTGAAATGGGAGGATCACTTGAGGCCAGAAGTTCAAGACCAGCCTGAGCAACATAGCGACACTACATCTCTACAAAAAATATCTTTTAAAAATCTTTGTGGAGTAAGATAGAGAGTGTGTATGTGTGTATACATGTATATAAAATTTCAGAGAGGCTTTTCAAAAGTGATGGGTTTCCAGCTTGGTCTTGAACGAGGGGCAAGTCTGGTTGGCCGTGAAGAGCGCACAGTTTGTATGGTGGAAGGCTGGCAGTCAGCAGACAGGTTGGGCCCAAACGCAGAGGCTCTGAAGCTGGAGGCGTACAGCAGACAGCTGCCAGAGGACTATGAATCGTTTCCGGGGATTCGGTTTGGTTTAGCGGGCAACAGCCAGTTCATGTGTAGGGGATGCCTGGATACAAACAGGAATGGTGAGGTTGGAATGGAGTCCACCAAAGCTGTGCTTAAATCCTGGCCTTGGCACTTCCTCCCTGAGTGACCAGGCAGGTGTTGCAACCTCTTTGAACATTTGTCACTGCATTGGTATAATTGGGATAATCTGATCAACTTCCCTGCAGCCTTATGAGGAGTAACTGAGGTAACATTTGGAAGATTCCCTGTATGCAGTGTCCGGCACATAGTTGATTTCAACACCAGAGACCTGCAGTGTGATAGAGAGCTGGTCCCACAGGGTCATTTGGGGGATCCCCAAAACTGTTGCCCTCCTTTGATTCTTAAGGAGTTACTAAAAAGGAGGCAAGGGTGTTTGGAGGCAAACCTTCACCTGTGAGCTCAGAGGCATGGAGGGAACTATTTCCTCCACCTCGGGGGCCTTTGCAGGGCAAATGCAACTGGGGCTCGCCTAGAAAGGCATTTCTTAGGCTCCAGCCCAAAATTCTCTCTCCCCTCTGGCTCCCCAAGCTCTTTCCTACTGTAGCAATGTTGGAATTGGAAGGATCCTCAGAATTTCTCTCTTTAAAACCTCTCTTAAGACAGAAGAAGAAAGTCAGGCCCAGAGAAGCTGACTGATCTTGGGCCACAAATGGACGAATAGTGTCAGGCTTGGGTCTGGACCTCACATCTTAACTCCAAGCCCAGTGCCCTAGTAATTTATACTCAAGTGCACAGTGGCTCCAATATTCCCTTTAACTGTTCCACCAGTATAACGTCTTGCCTCCTGAATTAGAATATAAACTAGTAGGTTCTTTAAATGAAGGAATTATGGATGGTATTTGCTTTCCTAGCCCCAGTGCAAAGCTATGCCATATATTGCAACCAATATAGAATAATTTTTATGAAATACACCTGTCTCACTGTCCTTTCCATTCCACTGCCACCCACCCTCTCCACACCAAATCCTGTCACAAATGAATTACGGCAGAAAATATTAAATTATTGGGCCAGGCGCAGTGGCTCACGCCTGTAATCCCAGCACTTTGGGAGGCCGAGGCGGGTATATCACCAGGTCAAGTGTTCAAGACCAGCCTGGCCAAGACAGTGAAACCCTCTCTCTACTAAAAACACAAAAATTAGCCGAGTGCAGTAGCGGGCACCTGTAAGCCCGGCTACTTGGGAGGCTGAGGCAGGAGAATCGCTGGAAGCCAGGAGTTGGAGGTTACAGTGAGCCGAGATCGTGCCACTGCACTCTAGCCTGGGCAATAGAGCAAGACTCTATCTCAAAAAAAAAAAAAAAAATATATATATATATATATATATATATATATAAAATGCTGAAGCCCATTTCATTTTTTGGACTCCCCTTTGTGCCTAAAAATCGAATTTCATTCATATTTTGGATTTTCTTGATTGTTTTGAGGACCCAAGATGGATGCAAACATTTTCTGAGGGTGGCTATATTTTTAGGCTTCTGCATTTATTTGAGAGTCAAAATGAAACATGAGCTGGGCAGGGTGGGGCGTGCCTGTGGTCCCAGCTACTTGGGAGACTGAGGTGGCAGGATCAGCTGAGCCCAGGAGGTCAAGGCTGCAGTAAGCACTCCACCACCTCACTCCAGCCTGGTGACAGAGCAAGACCCTGTCTCAGAAAAAAAAAAAAAAAAAAGTCAAAAAGGAGCATAAAAAAGCATTTAGACAGCAAAATGCTGAGGCTTAAAAGCACAGAGCCACACATCAGATAATGAAGAAGTTTTTTAAAGTCCTTTTCCCCCATCTCAGTGATTGTATCACTTGATTCTTTTTGGACAATGAAATAATGGAACTTGGCATAGCTGTGCTTAGGGCTCTGAACTGCAGTGCTGATGAGAAAGAGAGAGAGAGAGACAGAGATGGAGATAGAGACAGAGAGAGAGAGACTGATGTCTCTTGTCTTACAGATGGCAGGCACTTCATATTGCCCGTAGGATCTGGTAGTACATGCTCACGTTTCCAGCAGCCCCAGTCCTCTTTGTGTCAGTTTTCCTTCAGGTCATGTGTGTCCAGGCCCAATCATATTCCCATTTTGAAGCTGCCTCCTGACTTCCCGGTCCTTTCTGGTAGTGATCCAGGCTCTCTATGGCTGGTTACTGCTTTCTCCATGCACAGGGAAGGACACGGGCCCCTCTGTCTCTCTCAAAGAACCAGTCTGAGATTTAACAGCTCAGCGAGACCTACTCTTGCTGTCCTGCAGAAAGTGACAATTTTCCATTTCAGATGTTACTTTTTCTAATTCTGGTTAGATCCAGGCTCCTAGATCCTTAAAATGATTTTTCGCAATTTTTCAAAAAATCATTATCCACAGTTTTCCTAAGTTTTCTCCAACAGAACACTGTTTTCACCATAGGTTTCCTCTGAATACACATCAAATAGAGACCTCCAAGCCTATACATTGCCATCTTTTGGCAGCTCCAGACTCTATATGTGGGCCCCAGTTGCAGGGACAAGACAGCAGGTCAGAACGAGGGCCAAAACATTCAGGAGTCTGGGAGGTAGGAAAACTTATCTGTTGATTCTTCAGTTCAATTCATTAATGACAGATTTATCTCATTTTTAGCACACTTCCATCAGCAAGATCTGAAATGCGTGCTGGCCACAAGATTGTTAATGTAACAATAGTAACAATTTTGACAGAAACCACAAATGAAAATGAGACGACTGTGGCTGATATAATTGATAAGGCAATTAGAAATGACTCAATCATTCAGAAGTATAGTGGTAAGTATTGTATAATTTTATTCAAAGTTTTTTGTAAACTTTTTCATTCTATGTGAAAAGGGGCCAAGAACTACATTATTGAACTGATAAATGTCTCCAAATTTCCTTTTAGCCAATTCTTCTTCCCTTTACCTGCTCACTTGCCATCTGCTTTTTTCCAACCATCTCCCAAGTCATCAAACTGACCAGGGTGTTCCTCTCTAGGAAGGTATAAATGACCAGACAAGTCACTGCTGGCCAGGGAAGGAAAAAGGAGAAACAAGAGGGCTTTGTACTGAGTTAGAGCTTTACAAATGATTACATAAAGTTTTATCCATGGCTGGGCCCGGTGGCTCACTCCTATAACCCCAGCACTTTGGAAGGCTAAGATGGGTGGATTCTTTGATCAGAGGAGTTTGAGACCAGCCTGGGCAGCACGGCAAAACCCTGTCTCTACAAAAAAAATACAAAAAATTAGCTGGGTGTAGTGGTGCAGGTCCGTGGTCTCAGCTACTTGGCAGACTGAGTTGGGAGCATTGCTTGGGTCCAGGAGGTTGAGACTGCAGTGAGCTGAGATCACGACTCCACACTGCAGCCTAGGTGATAGAGCAAGACTGAGCTTTACCTGTGCTATTTTCCCCTTTAGACTGACACACAAGCCCACCATGTAGCTGTAGCAATTGGCGTTTGCTGTGTTACAACGGTAGTGGCCTAAAACAACCACCATTTACTTATTGCAACCCTAGAATTCTATGGGTCTGAATTTGGGCTGGGCTCAACTGGATAGTCTGGTGATCTGGGCCAGGCTTAACTGATCTCTGCTGGGCTCACTTAAGTATCTGCCATTAGCTGCTGGGTCAGCTAAATGTTTGTCTCTGCTCCACATAGTCTCTTATCCTTACCAGACCCATCCAGAGGATTTCAATAGCAGCAAGAGGACTTCCTGGTCCTTTCTGGGAGTGATCCAGGCTCTCTATGGCTGATTACTGCTTTCTCCATGCACAGGGTGGGACATGCACCCTCTGTGTCTCTCAAATGCTGTCCTATAGAAAGTGACCGTTTCCCATGTCAGGTTTCCCATTACTTGTTCTAATTCTGGTTAGCTCCAGGCTCCTAGGTTCAATGCACAAGTGTTTCTCAAGTCTCTGCTTACATCACAGTTCTAACTGTCCAGCTGGCTAAAGCAATTCACATGACCAAGCACAGCGTGGAAGGGCCCTGCAGATGGGGTACAGAAATGTGTGAATAAATTGCTGTCATGACTGCAGTCAACCCACCACAGCAGTCACCAGAAGTTCCTTACCCCAGAAGCAACCCATTGGGGCCAGTCCCAGGAAGAGGTGTTTACAGCTGGTTCTCAGTCCTGGTTGCCAAATCCAGAATCCTCTGTTGAGCCACAACTTATCTGACTTTTTTATAGCATTTGACACCAGTATCCTTCCCTTCTTGATATTACCTTCTTCCTGGGCCCCCATCTACCATTCTCCTAATCACCTTCCTGCCTCCCTCACCCTTCTTTTTGCTCCTTCTAAGGCTCCTTTTTTCACCTCTTAAATGTTTGCTTTTTTCTTTCTTTCTTTTTTTTTTTAGACAGGGTCTCATACTGTTGCCCAGGCTGGAGTGCAGTGTGGTGATCTCGGCTCACCACAATTTCCAACTCCCGGGTTCAAGCAATTCTCTTGCCTCAGCCTCCTGAGTAGTTGGAATTATAGGCTTGCACCACCATGCCCGGCTAATTTTTGTATTTTTAGTAGAGACGGTTTTTGCCATTTTGCCCGGACTGGTCTTGAACTCCTGATCTCAGGTGATCTGCTCGCCTTGGCCTCCCAAAGTGCTGGGATTACAGGTGTGAGCCACCATGCTTGGCCGGAAAATACTTTTTCCTGTTCTCCAGCTTCAGTGTCACAAATAAATTGTTTTCTCTGTCCCAAATTGAAGAATCTCTTGCTCTAGGCTTTTAATTAGAGGTATCTGCCTGTGGCGGGAGGATGGAGGCTTAGTTACAGTTTGGGATGTTTAAAGAGGAGCCATATGACTCTACCTACTCCTATTCTTTCCCCATAATCCATTCTCAGACTCATCTCCCCCCCACCCCACCCCCCACCCTCTATGCCCCGGAAGTGGAATCTTGCTCTGTCACCCAGAGCTGGAGTGCAGTGGTGTGATCATGGCTCACTGCGACCTCTGCCTCGGGTTCAAGCAGTTCTCCTGCCTCAGCCTCCTGAGTAGCTGGGACTACAGGCACGCACCACCATGCCCAGCTAATTTTTGTATTTTTAGTAGAGATGGGGTTTGACCATGTTGGCCAGGCTCGTCTCAAACTCCTGACTTGTGATCCACCCTCCTTGGCTTCCCAAAGTGCGATGATTACAGGAGTAAGCAACCACGCCCAGCCCAGACTCATCTTTTAACCCTAATGCCTTCCAACCCATTTTTATTTCCTTATTTACTTTTATTTAAATTTTGATACAAGGTCTCACTGTTGCTCAGGCTGGAGTGCAGTGGTGTGATCATGGCTCACTGTAACCTTGAACTTCTGGGCTCAAGTGATCCTCCCGCTCCAGCCTCCTGAGTAGCTGGGACTACAGAACTTGCCACCATGCCCAGCTAACTTTTAAATTTTTTGTAGAGACGGGGTTTCACTGTGTTGCACAGGCTGGTCTTGAACCCCTGGGCTCCACCGATCCTCCTGCCTAGGCCTTCTGAAGTGCTGGGATTACAGTGAGCCACTGCACCTGGCCCCAAAACTTATTAAAAGGCAAAGTATAATAGCAACAAGGTAGAGTCATTTTCACAAATTACTTTATCCATATTGTTACGCTATTTTTTCAAATTATATTGTGCTTCTCAGAGATCCTTCGGTGTGATTATTACGGTTGTCAAAAGGCCGAGAATGGATGCATCAATAGTTTAGCATGTGAATGCAAACCTGACCTGATAAGGCCTAACCCGCAGAGCCCTTTCTGTGTTGGTAAGTGTTTCACCTGCTTCTAAATCTTCTTTACGACTCCCACTTTCTCTCCTTTTGCAACATACTACATTCACTGCTTAAGTTTCCACATTCATTTCAGAGTCCAAGTGATACGAGTTCTGGCTTTAGGCATACAGACCAAAGCTGGGACCCTGGCTAACCCAGGTCAGCTTCACAGGAGGCGCGTCAATCGGCATCTTGTTTACCTAGAAAAAGCAACGTGAAAAACACTGTCATGTTGTCACCTATGGCTTTGGGGTTAAAGAGATTGTTTCTGAAAATTACCAAGAAATCATTCTGTTTTGAAGCTCCCAGTCTAAAGTGTCCTGATACCTGCAACGCAGAGCACAGGCAATGCTTGGTAAAGAAGACCGGTGCGGACCCCGAGTGTGCGTGCGTGCCTGGCTACCAGGAGGACGCTAACGGGAACTGCCAAGAGTAAGAAAAGTCACTCTGTGTTTGTCTCGCCATAGCTGGAGCTAGGCAAAGAAGACAGGCCTTACAACAAGTATACAGGCGCTGAGTCAGGAAGTTGGTAAGCTGGCATAGGTTGGTAGAGACAGAGCACCACCATCATCATCATCATCATCATCATCATCATCATCATCGCTTTCCAGCATTCTCTATGCTGCAGGAAACACACTAGGTAATACCTATCGCATAGCAACACCGTCCGGAATGTCTTAGTTTCCCATTTTCAAGTGAGGAAACTGAACTGAAGGGAAATATCCCCCAGCTCACAGGACAGCAAGTAAGTGGCAGAGCCATGTGGCATCACAGCCTGAGAGGGTTCCACTACCCTCCATGCCTCTTGGGTTCAGCTTTGCCTGAACTGCAGAATCTTCCTGGAGCACAGAAGATGGAGCGTTCAGTCAGTAGCAAATGAGCCTACATGGAATTGCGTACCCCACTTACCCTTCCAGAACCCCGTGGAAGGTGGTCTCCTGGAAGAATGAGGGTGTAAGGAAGACAAAAGAAAGGGGAAGGGAAGCAAGGGAGGACAGAATGAAAGGAAGGTGGAAAGGAAGAGGTGGAGACTGGGGTGGGAACTCTGACATGCTCCCCACAGGGGCTCTGTAACACTGTTTCCTATCGCTCACGATATTTCAGGTGTGCTTTCGGCTACAGCGGACTCAACTGTGAGGACAGTGAGTATGAAAGTCTTGCGATTATAAACAAGTTATTAAGCATCTGAGAAATCAATAGTGACCACATTCTACATCCTGCCCAGTCCTTCGAAGTCTCTGTCCCGTTTCATAAAAAGAGAAACTATCTGCCTCCAGTTGGTCTTCTGGGTCCTGCCCTGCCATGCCCACCCTTAGGTTATGGAAAGCAGCCCCTCTGCCATAGAAAATAACAGAATTCAGCCCAGGAATGGGCTGGTGCCTCTGGACTTGCTTGAGACAAGAGAAGGGAGTCTTCGCATTATGTTGATTTCCTGCATTCGCTTACATATGTATTATCTGCTGCTGATAGAGATAAAAGACAAGCACATTTCAAAAATTCTGGTGGTGATGGAAGAGCAGACCTAGAAACCAGATGCTTAAAAACTCAAATTCTTCTGTCTCAGAGCTATTTACTGGTTTGGGATATTTTGCTGCAAATTCAAATTCTTTTCCTTCCCATGCCCCACCCCCACCAGATTAAGAAATACTAACTTTAGATTTTCAATTATTTTATATTTTAAAATCTACATAATGAACTAAAGATCAGTGATCCAAGATGAAGGAAATATTACTGTCAGCCTTCCAGCCGGCCATGAAGATAGTGATGGGTGACATTCTCCATTTCTACTGTATTTTATTGCAAGGAATAATTAGCTAAGTCTTCCTTTGGAGTTTTCAGTTTCCACAACTATAAAATGAGAGGTTTGAACCAGACAAACTTTGAGGTCTTTCCCAGACTTGCTAGTCTGGCCCCATGAATCCATGTTAAAGGCAGCATTTGTGGGAGTCACATAGAAGGAAGAGACAGAGGTCTAGAGCAGCATTGTCCAGTGGAAATACTATGTGAGCTACAGATTTTATTTGAAATTTTAGAAATTTCAAGTAAATTGCTAAAAGTAAAAAGATGACATTGATTTTAAGAACATATTTTATTTAACCCATATATCTAAAATATTATTTCAACATGGAATCAATAAAAAAATGATTAACCAATTATTTCACATTTTTTTCACACACAGTGTTTGCAGTCTGGTGTGTCTGTTACATTGTGTCTCATAGCCGCAGTCACATGTCAGTAGTGTCAGCCAAGGCAGAGTTAGGAGAAGAGAATGGGTGATAATGAATGTCTAGACTCTTCCCTCATTGATACCATCAAGCCATTGGCTGGCTCCTCTAGCAGTGACATTTAACTCCAACCTAATTTCTTGAGCTTATCAGTAAGGGGAGGTATAGAGGGCAGGCAAGGGCAGCAGAGGTAAGGAGGGAGATGTGGCCCTGGGTTGAGACCCCACTCCCCACCAAGCCCAGGAAGATCCTGCCACCATTGGCCGCCTTTGTATTTACAGTCTTTTGTCTGGCAAGGCTGCCCTTTCCAATTGCATGCTGAAGACACAGTTTAGGAGGTGTGAGGCGGGGATGCTACAGGAAATAAGCCATTTACCCATCCTAGCCTGGAGGGCTGGAGACCAGAGCCTGATGGTCCTCACAGCTAGGAGTCCCCGGGAACACACATACCTGTGCAGCTGGAGGTCAGCTTGTTGGGAGCTGTTCTTATTTTCTTCTCCCTTTCAGATTTTCAGCTGATCCTCACTATTGTGGGCACCATCGCCGGCATTGTGATTCTCAGCATGATAATTGCATTGATCTTCACAGCAAGGTATGGGAAGAAAGTGTCCTTTTTTAAATTTAATTTTTAAAAACAAACAGTGATGGAGGTCTCACTATGTTGCCCAGGTTGGTCTCGAACTCCTGGACTCAAGCAGTCCTCCCGTCTCAGCCTCCAAAAGTGCTGGGATTACAGGCATGAGCCACCACATCCACCAGAAGTGGCCTTTTCCTGGGACACAGCACTGCGCCATCATGATACTCTCTAGTTTCGAACACACTCATCCTCTCCTGGGCAAGAGAAGGGGGATAAGGGAAGGATTTTCTAATACCACTGACCTTTTCCTTACCTTAATTTTCTTCTTCTTATATGAGCTATGCATGATCATGGAAGAAAACTGAGGAAATAGAGAAGTGGGTAGAGGGCGAAATTTAAAAATCACTCACAAAACCCACCACCTTGAGACAACATTTTGAGCTATAACTTTCCAGATTTATTTCTTTTAAAATATTATTATATATGTAATTTTGTATCTTTCGTGTTTTTTAAATTTTAGGTTGGGTTTTTTTGTTTGTTTGTTTTTGGTTTTGGTTTAACACCATATGATGACATCACAACCATTTCCTTTTGTCATTAAAAACTCTTTGTTAATGTACTAGTATTTTAACTCCACTGAAGTTGTCAAATACAATTTTCATCAGATAACTTCCCTGTACGGGACTCTGCTACAAATGGTCTAAAATCAACCTCAACTTAACCCCCTGGGTTTTTAAAAACTTTTTAAAAGAAAGGTTATCTCAGCCAGGGATGGTGATAGCACCCTTATAATCCCAGCTACTCAGGAGGCTGAGGCAGGAGAACCCCTTGAACCCAGGAGGTGGAGGTTGTGGTGAGCCGAGATCGTGCCACTGCACTCCAGCCTGGGTGACAGCAAGACCCTAACACACACACACACACACACACACACACAGAGTGTGTGTGTGTGTGTGTGTGTGTGTGTGTGTGTGTGTGTGTGTTAGGGTATCTCTGCATGAGTATTTCTTAGCTTGGTACCTTAAGGTCCCTTCTCTTTTTTTTTTTTTTTTTTTTTGAGATGGAGTTTCACTCTTGTTACCCAGGCTGGAGTGCAATGGCGCAATCTCGGCTCACCGCAACCTCCGCCTCCTGGGTTCAGGCAATTCTCCTACCTCAGCCTCCTGAGTAGCTGGGATTACAGGCATGCGCCACCATGCCCCGCTAATTTTTTGTATTTTTAGTAGAGACGGGGTTTCACCATGTTGACCAGGATGGTCTTGATCTCTTGACCTAGTGATCCACCCGCCTCGGCCTCCCAAAGTGCTGGGATTACAGGCTTGAGCCACCGCGCCCAGCGGTCCCTTCTCTTAAGGAAGGGGCAGTAGAATTCATTCATTCAACAATATTTAGATAGACTAAATGTCCCCCCATTAACAGGGCAGCAAATGCTGTGATCTCTTTTCCATTCTAAATGTGCCAAGTGGGGATCTACTTTAATTTTTCTTAAAGCTCCTTTTTTCTTTTCTTTTCTTTTTCTTTTTTTTTTGAGACGGAGTTTCGCTCTTGTTACCCAGGCTGGAGTGCAATGGCGCGATCTCGGCTCACCGCAACCTCCGCCTCCTGGGTTCAGGCAATTCTCCTGCCTCAGCCTCCTGAGTAGCTGGGATTACAGGCACGTGCCACCATGCCCAGCTAATTTTTTGTATTTTTAGTAGAGACGGGGTTTCACTATGTTGACCAGGATGGTCTCTATCTCTTGACCTCGTGATCCACCCGTCTCGGCCTCCCAAAGTGCTGGGATTATAGGCGTGAGCCACTGCGCCCGGCCAAAGCTCCTTTTTTCTAATATTTAGTTCATATCTTATATTTTGGTGGAATAGGTATTTTTCCACTATAATGTGAGAGGATAAATAGATTTTAGGTTCTTAAAATATTTTGTTGGTTTTTCTTTTTTCTTTTTCTTTTTCTTTTTTTTGAGACAGAGTCTTGCTCTGTCATCCAGGCTGGAGTGCAGTGGCATGATCTTGGCTCACTGCAACCTTCGCCTGCCAGGTTCAAGCGATTCTTCTGCCTCAGCCTCCCAGGTAGCTGGGACTAGAGGCACGCGCTACCATGCCTGACTAATTTTTGTATTTTTAATGGAGACAAGGTTTCACCATGTTGACCAAGCTGGTCTTGAACTCCTGGCCTCAAGTGATCTGTCCACCTCGGCCTCCCAAAGTGCTGGGATTACAGGTGTGAGCCACTATGCCCAGCCAAAACTTACTCTTTTATAAAAAAAACTGTTAGTGTTCTTTGGTTATGCAACTTATTCTTAATTGGATCAGAAATGTTAACAACTGGGGAATCTGGGTAATGAGGCATGTGAGAGAGAATACTGTAATTGTGTGTGTGTGTGTGTGTGTGTGTGTGTGTGTGTGTGTGTGTATTTGGTAACTTACAAATAAATGTCAAATTAGTTCAAAATTTAAAAATATTTTTAAAAAGAACATTAACGTTTACCTCAAGGAATTTTCTGCCATTGTCAAATCCTAATTCCTCTTAACTGATTACAGATCAAATAACAAAAAGAAGGATAGTGAAACACAGAACTTGATTGACGAAGACTTTAACAATCTAAGACTGCAGTCGACAGGATTCAGCAATCTTGGAGCAGAACGGAACATCTTTCCTAAGGTCAGGATAGCGGCCTCCAAAGACAGCCATGTGCACAATCCCTACGCCGGCCACGGCAACGTGCCCCGCCCTGACTATTAGGTGAGTCAGCGCACCTCCCTTCTGCTTTGGGGAGTGAACGCACCAGGGCAGAGCAGAGACCTGGTTGTTGGATGTTCAATCCTTGGCTGCCCCGCAGGCTTTCTTTTTCTTTTCTTCAATTGAAACAGATCAAAAAGGAAGCTTTCTGCTGTTGGAAGTAGCCGCCACTTGGTCCCTAACTCTTAGCATCTATGTGACTTTAGATACATCACTTAATTTCCCTGGCCTTCTATTTTCTCATCTGTAAAAAGGGCAGGTTAATTTAGATACCCTAAGGTCCCTTTAGATTACCAACTTCCACGGATATGTCTCCAGAGATGATGATGATGCTTCTCAGGCTGTTTAAAGGCCTAGGGCCTCAGCCAGGGCCAGGAAGGACATCGGATGTAGACGTAGTTCTGTGGGATCCTTTTCACCAGACCGTGTGAAGGCAATGTTCTCCTTCCCTCCCGCTTGATCTCAAGGCTACTCAATCTATTTCTTTCTTAGTTCTATTTGTTGTTGTTGTTATTGTTGTTGTTTTGAGACACGCTTTCACTCTGTCACCCAGACTTCAGTGCAGTGGTACAATCCCTGCTCACTGCAGCCTCAACCTCCTGTGCTCGAGCGATCCTCCCACCTCAGCCTCCCAAGTAGCTGGGACTACAGCCACATACTACCATGCCCGGCTAATTTTGGTACTTTTTGTAGAGACAGAGATGTCTGCCATGTTGCCTAGGCCAGTCTTAAATTCCTGAGCTCAAGTGATCCTCCTGCCTCGTCCTCTCAAAGTGCTGGGATTACAGGCATGAGCCACGGCACTGGGCCTCAATCCATTTCTAAAGATATAAAATGGAACTTGGCTTATTGGCTCATCCCCATAATCCTAGCACTTTGGGAGACTGAGGCAGGAGAATCGCTTGAGTCCAAGAGTTCAAGACCAGCCTGGGCAAGTAAGGAGAACCCATCTCTACCAAGAAAAAAAAAACTTTTTTTTTTTTTTTTTTTTTTTTTTAAATGAGGTAAGACTAGTTAGGCTGGCAATACTATATTTCTCTAGGGAGGACTTTCAAGGACAATAGCTTGTACCCACTGGGTTTGTATTGGATAATCATAGCTGGCACTGCTTAGTGTGATTGCATGAAATGTTGAAAGGAGGAAGCCTGTGAGAGACTTTTGGAAGAAGAATGACAGGCTGAGATGAAGAGAAGGAAGATGGTGAAGGAAGAAGAGAAAGGGGGCTGGGGAAGAGATGGGGAATGGAACAGACGCGAGGAGAGAAATGATAGGGAGAATTCAGGAGAAAGCTGAAGAAGACAACATGAATAAAAGTGATGTTAATAATTTATAGGTCTAAATGATCGCATGTTTCTGTTAGAGTATTTTCTAAGAGTATTGTCTCTCCCTCTCTCTATCTAGAATCATAAAATTGTGGAACCCACCGTGGCCCCCCACCCACTGTACAAGCTATTATTCTGAGTGTTTAGAAAGACTGATGGAGAAGTGAGCACCAGTAAAGATCTGGCCTCCAGGGCTTTTCTTCCACCTGACATCTGCCAGCCTCTCTGAACGGAAGTTGTGCATGTTTGCAATGAATACAGTTCGCTTGCTAAATAAGAGTCTGTGACATTGTATGTAGTAGATGCTATTAGCATTTGTCAGATAGGTGGTTTTCTTCACAGGAGTAGTGAGACCATGGTTAGGGTTGTTTCTTAAAGTTTTTTTACTGGTAGGGGAACAAGAACCATCTCCTATCTGGGGAAAGCTCCCCAGCATTGCTTGCTCCTGGCTGAGCATTGCTGTTGAGTTAAGTGACTTAATTCCCCCGGGAGACATCGCATCAACTTGGAGGTCTGAGGGGATGAGAAGAGATACCTATCATCTTTTAAGGGTCACAGCTTACTCTTTGAAAAGTCAGAATAGGGATACTGCTTCCATCCCTCCAATGGGGGAATTTTGGCAACCTTTGAACTGCCCAGAGCTTGCAACCTAGCCTCACCCAAGAAGATAGGAAAGAGAGATATCTCTCAGTTTTTTCAGAAGGTGTGACTGGGAATCCAGGAACTTTTTGATGCTAATTAGAAGGCCTGGACTAGAAATGTCCCCTATAGGGTACACTCTACAGTTTTTGAAACACTAGGTGGTAGAGAGGACAAAGAGAGAAAAAAAAACCATGACTGGGTAGAAGGAAGAGAGGGAACGGAAACTGGGCTGGGAGGTGAATTAGAGAGGAGGCACCTGGGATCCACCTTCTCCCTATGGTTCCCTCCTCTATCAGCAAAGGAGCACTTCCTCTAATCATGCCCTTCTGAAGACTGGCTGGGAGAAGGTGTAAAAACAAAAAAACCAGGAGTAAGAGCCTTACGTCAGTTTGAAACTGGAGACATGCTCTCTGGCCAAGGATGCAAGAGGGAGCTTGTGCTCAGGAGTCCAGCTGTCCAGACTCAGGGTGTAGGTTCTCTTTGGAAGAATCTAAAAGAACTTTTTGAATGCAAATGCAACAGTGTGTGCCATTGGGACCTCAGCCTTCCCTGGTGACAGAGGCTTAGCTGTGGCCACCAGCACACACACACACACACACACACACACACACACACACACACACACAGAATGGGGCAACCACATCCAGCACAAGCTTTTACAAATGTTATTAGTGTCCTTTTTTATTTCCAATGTCTTGTCCTCTTAAAAGTTATTTTATTTGTTATTATTATTTGTTCTTGACTGTTAATTATGAATCGTAATGCAATAAAGTACCTTTGTTAGATGGTGTCCTTTCTGTGTCTGGAGCTTTTTTTTTTTTTTTTTTTTTTTTTTTTTTTTTTTTTTTTTTTTTTTTGAGACACAGTCTTGCCCTGTCACCCAGGCTGGGAGTGCAATAGTGTGAACATGGCTCACTGTAGGCTCAAACTCCTGGGTTCAAACAGTCCTCCCACATCAGCTTCCTGAGTAGGTGGGCTACAGGAGTGTGCTATCATGCCCAGCTAATTTTTCTTTTTTTGTAGAGACAGGGTCTTGCTATGTTGCCCAGGCTGCATTTGGGGGTTTTGATGATGCACACAGCAGCTAGTCTCATTTTAAATAGCAAACATGACACATGGTAAATGGGAGTGATTGACATCTGCTGTCCTTATTAGGGGTTATTGGAGTACCCAAGGTAACGTTCTAACACATAGTAGACATTTGCTTCTCCCATGCACATCCCACTCCTACCCTAAATGAAGCAGCCAAGCATTTTGGGTGGGGCTGATCCTACTCCCAGCTACAGAGGTTGGCCCTGTTTTGTTCAAGCCAACCAGTAAAATCCCATGACTCCTTGCCACAGTAACTGACTTAAAAGTGAACATGTGGCATAAGTGGATACAATTAGAATAAAACCTAAAATTTGGTAGGAAGCTTGGAAAAAGAGAAACTTTCTTTTTCTGGAAAGTGGGCTTGAGGGTGTGAGGCCTTGAACTGCTTCTGTTTTGCTGGGGACAAAGCTGACACAGGGAGAGGAGAAGAGCTGAGAGAACCAGAGATAAATGGACCTGGCACCTTGATCAAACCATACCTGAATCCTCTGGACTTGCCTCTGTTACAAGGCCAGTTTGAGTAGTTTTTTTCCTGTTCTTTGCAGTAAAAAAATATCCTCACTGATACCACTTAGGTTTAGTCTTGCATTCTCATAGCTAGATGATGAATAACATACAAGAAATACACTCTTATGAGCTTATTAATGCCCATGCTAAAGACATTAGCCATAAACCAATCAGTTAACAGCAGCAGAGTTAGTGCAGGAAGAACTTAAAATTGGCTGACCACTGTAATTTGTCATCACAGACTTTATTTCTGACCTGCATATTTAAGTATGGTTCTGAATTTAGTACTAGCATAAGGCTATTTGAACCTTATTTCTAAAGAGGACTTTCCCCCTTCACAATCTCCCTTTGAACCAGAGCATGCCAGCTCCTGTGGCTTCTCAAAGGTCCCTGAGCCATCCTAATTCTGGGCTTCCAGGGCCATTCTTCAAAGACTTCCATTGCTATTGTTTGAATAAAAATAATCTCCTAAACATGTATATGTATAATATTTATGAAAATGGCTTTTGCATTTGCATTCAAAAAGTTTTTTTTGATTCTTGCACCATATGACCTATAATTCATTTGTTTCGGCTTGCTGGTACCTTTGCAAAGGCTTTCTTACCGATTGCCCTGCCATCTTGGAGGGCTGTCAGAGTGAACTTTGTAAGATGCAAATCTGATCGTGACATTCCCTTAAGCTTTCAGGGGTCCTCCACTGAGAAATAGAGCTCATAGAATAAAGTCAGACTGCTGGTGGCATGGTGCTCCTGGACACCCAGTGACTGCTGCTGATTGTGCTGGCTTTGCCTCATGCCCTTCCCCATGGTGCACTAACACTTTGGCTGCACCTGCTATTTCCTAAACATACTAACTCTTTACTACTATTATTATTATTATTTGAGACAAGGTCTGGCTCTGTTGCCCAGCCTGGAGTGCAGTGGTGTGATCTTGGCTGATGGCAAACCCCACCTCCCAGACTGAAGCCATCCTGCCCACTCAGCCTCCAGAGTGTCTGAGACTATAGGCACATGCCACCACAGCTGGCTAATTTCTGTATTGGTGTAGAGATGAGGTTTGGCCATGCTGCCAGGCTGGTCTCAAATTCATGATCTCAAGTGATCCACCTGCCTCAGCCTCCCGAAGTGCTGAGATTACAGACATGAGCCATGGTGCCCGGCCAACATACCACCTCTTCATGCCTCCATTCCTTTGCTCATGCGTTCCTGCCACCTGGAAAGCCCATTTCCTTCAACTGCCTAATGCCCTAATCTGTCCAAGATGTTATTACAAACTACCACAGACTGAATGACTTACAGACAACAGAAGTTATTTCTCACAGTTCTGGAGGCTGGGAAGTCCAAGATCAACTTGTCAGCCAACTTGGTGTCTGGTGAGGACCCACTTCCTCATAGATGGCCGTCTTTTTACTATAACCTCACATGTTGTAAGGGGCAAGAGATCTCTTTGGGGTCTCTTTTATAAAGACATTTAATCCTCATTCATGATGGCTCTACTCTCATGACCTGATAACTTCCCAAATGTCCCACCTCCTAAGAGCACCCTAGCTTTTCCTAGCTCTTCCTTTCTTCCGCCAGCACTCTCAGGTACAATTGCCTCCTTCGCGTCCCAACTGGTCCTGTAACCTGAGTTCCCCCAGGGAAGTGGTGGTGCATGGTTTCTTCTCACCCAGCGCAATGTCTGGCATAGAACAAGTATGAAATAATTGTGAAATGGGAGTGTGAAACAGCACTCCTGCAGCTCCACCTTGAAGAATATGTGCATTATCTTGATTGTAGCACTGGTTTCACAAGTGTACATGTACGTCAAACATAGTCCAATTGTACGCTTTATAAATGTAGTTTGTTGTACGTCAACTACACCTTCACAAAGCTGTTTTGTTTTTTTTTTTTTTGTTTAAGTGGGAAGTGAACTATATGTAGAGCTATCTCCAACCTTGAGGGTGGCACCTTTTAGGCACAACCTTAAGACAGCACGAGACAATGCTCATGTGACACTGCTGGCTCTCTGCATTAGACTAAAAGTCCTCTGAGGTCAGCTTTGGGTGAAAGAGCACAGGATGCCCCCTTGCCCTGACAGTAGGAGGTCTTAGCTGCATATTGGGATCCTCTGAGGAGTTTAGTTACTGATGTCTGGGTCCCATTCCAGAGCACTTCATCAGTCTAGGGCAGACCTGGGCCTCAGGAGTATTTAAACTCCTATCTGCATTTTTTGGGGGGAAGAGGGGATAGTGTCTCCTTCTGCCACCCAGGCTGGAGTTCAGTGGTATGATCATGGCTCACTGCAGCCTCTAACTCCTGGGCTCAAGCCGTCCTCCCCCCTCAGCCTCCTGAGTAGCTGGAATTCCAGCTCCCCATGCTTCTAGGTGCTTCCAATGTGTAGTGGAGTTTGAGAACCACTGCTTCAGGTCCCCGAGTTGAGATCACATCATATCATTTCCCAGTCCTTCCCCTGAGAGGCTGGAAACCAAGAGTCCATTGTGGACCAGAAGCCTCAGTGAGCTCCAAGTCTCTTTATGGAGAAGGTGATAAGGCATCCAGATTGTGTCAACACCAAAACCGCTTGAGACTGAACCTTTCTGTGCCATTTTGCCCCCAAACCTACTCCGTCCTCCCGCCCCTTTCTATGGCTGGGCGAATCTCAGGGCCAGTAGGTGGCACTGTCTCCTATGGCTTGCAGAAAACAACTTTTCGGCAGTGCCTCCCTGGTTTGAAATCATTAAATTTTATTTATTTTTTCTTATTGAGACAGAGTCTCGCCCAGGTTAGAGTGCAGTGGCGCGCGCGATCTCGCCTCACTGCAACCTCCGCTTCCCAGGTTCAAGTGATTCTCCTGCCTTAGCCTCCCCAATAGCTGGGATTACAGACATGCACCATTACGCCCAGCTAATTTTGTATTTTTAGTAGAGGCGCATTTCACCCTGTTGACCAGGCTTGTCTCAAACTCCTGACCTCTAGTGATCCAACCGCCTTGGCCTCCCAAAGTGCTGGGATTACAGGTGTGAGTCACCGAGCTTGGCACTGAAATCGTTAACTTTTAATGCACCGTTTCTAAACAATTTCTCCTTGGACTTTTCCTTGGTCTCGTTATTCCTTGTTCTTTTGCTAGGGAAACGTGAATGTTATGCTGTTCACTCTTGTTGAGATATTTGCATCATTTTTCCTGAATCATTAGAGATCATATATTGTCCTCTTTATTGCTCTTATAATACATAACCATATATAATGTTAATGTTATATTAATGGTGCATAAAATTTCGTACAATTGTTCAGAGAAATCAGCATTTTATTTAGTGGTGATTGTATAAAATAAAAAAGGAGATAAATCCATTTTCATTGAAAAATTCTTCAGTTCAATAAAAAACAAAATGCCACCCGTCGGAGGCGAGGTGAGCAAGATCTGCCTGGGTTTTCCCTGAGAGTTCCCGAGAATTCCAGTCTGCCATTAATTGACAATCCACAGTGCAAAGAGCAAGGCTCGGATGAGGTTGGAGAGAACCCTGGAAGACATATGGGTGTTCTTCTCAACCTCAGGGCCATGAAATGTGGCTCGCTTATTCAAAGACAGAAGCCTGGGTCAAACCATCGAAGGCCTCATAATTTCTGTAGGCCTGGTAACGTTTTTCATGAGCCCACAGTCATGACACGTGGGCCAATAAGGTAATTCTCTGCTACTTCCAGGTGAGAGAACCAATTTGAAAACCAACAACAATAACAATATTTAATATATTACAAAACACTCCCTATGTGCCAGATGTAATTCTTGTGCCTCACACATATCAACCCCTTTAATTCTCACGATAGTTGTGAAGTAGGTACTATTTTGATGCCTGTTCAATATTAGGAGAAATAGAGGCAAGTAACTAGTCTATAGTCACGTAACTAGGAAGTGACAGCCAGGATTTGGGCCCAGGCAGTTCAACTCCACTGCCCACCTCTCTATCATTTAATGTTAAAATATTAACAGAGGTAGTATATTTCAATAGTTAGTAGGGACAATGTGACATATATCTGAAGCTGAGAGTGTTCTGCATTTACCAGGACCTTGTGCCAGATGCAAATGGAGTGGTGGATGAAACAAAGGCTTCATCATCCTGGAGCTCACACGTTAACGGCCTTTATTACCGAAAGTGCAAAAGTCTTTACTTATGTCATTGTTCAAATTTCATTAAGTATTTTCATATTTTCTTAA